TTAGAGAACATGCTAGAGGTATGTTTGTAGGTATTTTTGTTTAAAAAAACTATTTCATGCTCTCCATTTTATTTATTATAATAGGTAAAAAGGTTGTACTTCATCACTCATGTAAACATGCTCATGAAGTTGAAAGTAATTAAGATTTGATACACTGATATCAATTTATTTATGTAACTAAATCACTGTTTTATAAACTTGTTAATGATCAACAATTTTTTTGTTTTGATTAAAATTAGTTTTTTGAAAGTTGATTCTGCCTCCTTTAATGGTGTCTGTTACTGGAGTTGAATTGTGTTACAGATAGTTCATAGATCTTGAATGCCCAGATTGCAACTGTGGTACATTATGGTGGTAAGCAATGTGATCACCAGGTCCAGGAAATAAATTTCGTGTTCCTCGAAAATTTGCAGAGGAATTGGAATGTTAACAGCTGCTGGTGGAAGAAGACTTAGTGCTTCACAGGAGGGGCTGAATGCTGCCTGAGTCTGAAGATGTGTCTTCTGTACAACTAACAGTAAGCCTTGACGTATTGCCCTGGGAGGATTGTTGAGTGTGTGGGGGTGTGTTCCCACTAGTGGATTATTTGGGTGACTGTAAGAGTTGAGATGCACTACAGATATATTCAAGGACAGTTCTTTCTGTGTGGATTGGCTTTTCTAAAGTATTTTTGTGTATTTTGCGTTGTGCAGCTCATTCCACACAGCATGAAGTTCTTGCTCACCAGCTGATAGCTGATAATTTTGCTTTTTTTGAGCCCTTACTCCATCAGAGTTGTGTGAATTTTCCAGCCCTCAGAGAATAATAGGATATGACATGGTTGAAAACTGAAGAAGAGCTTTCTGCTTTACTACCATTTTTGTCATCTTAAGAATGTTACCTGATATTTGACTACATGACCTAAACACCTTCAATTCCTTTTTTTTTTTTTAGTATCTTCAGCTGAAAAGAGAATTAGTATGCAGCAAGCAGCTATCAGAGATGCCAGTGTAACCATGAATTCAGACGGTGAGGCTTGTGTCACTGGAAGATTAAGAAGGAAAATATCCGAATCTTTGTACAACTTGTCATGTAAAATATGAGTCTTTTACAAAGCCTTGCTAACAGCTGAGATGTCCTGACCTAATAGTACTATCATTCCATATCTTCTGTGACTTCAATTCCAAGTATTAAATTCTCATTACATTTTTGCTCTGTTATTTTGTCCTAGATGAATTATAGGCAGTGGCACAGTAAGGAAATATCACCCCATTGTGCAATAGGGTTTGCATGGTTGCTTTTTGTTGGTGGTGATGGTGGTTTGGGTTTTTTTCATTTTACAAATAATTCGGTATTAAGGATATTGTGGATTATGTAGGTTGCAAAACTGAAGCCTGTTTGAAGACCAGGCCTAAAAAATCCAATGCGCAGGCTCGAAGGGTTAATGACCTTTCCCAAATCTTCACTCGCGAAGACTGCCCATATTTTTAGAATTAAATACAGTCCTGGTGTTTGCCACCTGGTTTTGATGGGCACAGTGGCTTTTTCTTTCAGAACTGATAGAAGTTTATTTGGCTTGTTTTCATGACTGAGTGAAGTCTGTGCCTGCACTGGTGCTGCGCAGTGCCGTTCACACCATGTTAAAAGCCCTCAAGGACTAACAGAGGCTTGGCCAATCTTTCTAGTAAACTTGTCTCAATATGTACTGCTTTTGGTTTGTGGAGGTAGGAGGAGTCCAGGAATGGGATTCCACAAAAAAAAAAACAAAACCACAAAAAAACCCTGAGGGATCTTTTGGTGAAGGCCAATCAAATATTTCTATAATTCCTGACAGTGCATATGAATTTGGAAGCGTAAGGAATCCTAACCAGAATACAATGTCTCAAATTCTTTATCTTCTCTTTAGAGCCATATATTTGAGATACACAACTGAATAGCTCTGCTATCATTGCTTCCAAGTGTTTGAGTGGTTTTCAGCTTTAAATGAGAACTTCTTTTAAATCCAGGTTTGCTATTCACTAGTGATGGGATCTGAATATTATTGTGGCATATCATAGGCTACCTTTCAGTCTTCATTCTTCTGGCGAGTCAAGTGAAGTCCTGAAGTAGATGATATCATTTCTGTATTATGAGACTGTCTTGCAGCCCAAGAAAGCGACTTTTACCCATAAGTTTGTTTTCAGGTATCCTTTACTGATTCTGC